CCGAATAAGGCCGTCAAGTGTAGGCAACGCAGCGCCGCGACCACCGTTCCAGGATTCACTTTCAACAAAGAATTGCCCAGCCGCTTCGAAATTTATCTATGCAAAGTTAACTTATCGAGACCCGACTCGATAAAATTAATATTCGTCGACACTCGACGCCTATCTCTCGGCAAGTGCATTGAGCATCGCCTGTCTGATCGGATCATCGATTATAGACTGATAAGCGACAGCTGAACAAAGAGCTCTCAATCAGTACAATTATACGCACACGAAGAAGAATTTGTTTGTCGGAAAATTTACGGCGACGGGTCGCTAATGCAGGGACGTGTCGAGCGTGCACTTCATTTTTACGACCGAGCTCACGTCAATTTTACGATGAACAGTCCGTAATGTTTGAGCATCGAACGTTTAACAAACTCGTGAAAATTCCCGAGATTGCTTGTAATTTTTATCATTCCGTCGCCGTAACGCGCGCCTTTCAGCCAGCTTTCGCTGCCGACAGTCACGCGTCATCGAACGCCACAGCTAAATTCACTTTGTGCTCTGTCGCTCGCCGACGGATTTGCAGTGTTCTTGTAGGTTTTATAGCGACCACCATAGTTTTGAAAGCGCATGAAATCACCTTGGCAATGTTTAAAAGTTATTCGTATAATATAATTTTAATATTTTTAAACTTAACACTCGAAATGTATTTCTTTGAACGAACTGTCACTCAATAAATTTTTCTTTGCAATAAAACTTTTTCGCGTGACTCATTTCCAGAATTAAAAAGAGAACGAAAGAATTTGATTTGACAAAGCTTTCGATATAATGACCATTGATGCACGTGGACATTTTACGATGACGGCTCCGAAATTTAGCTGTCAGCGTTAAAATTGTCCTGACTTGAGTCATTCTTATCCTCGCCATCTCTTTAACTGTTACGGACAAAATATGCCCATGTAGAATTAAAATAATGAAGTGTCGTTTCGCAAAGACAATAGCCGCGGAGTATCGGTCTAATGCGAACAATTGGCCGCGCGTAAATTTGATGCTGAACTGAACGCGAGCGAGAGTCCGACAGCGAGGTCCGCTAACGCGGCAGTTGGTCGAAAAAAAATAAGGTTATCCCTTCGGGTACGAGCTGCTGAAAGAGAAATGAAAAAGAAACGAGAGATAAGGCGCGTCGAAAGTTGGCCGAGCGAGAGCAGAGGAGAAGCGAGCAGGTGGTTAGGGCTGATGCGCGCGGTAGGGCAAGAAGGCGCAAACAGCCAACTGAAATAGAGATAAGTAGCTGAGAGTGCTGGCGCGGTCTCGGCTTTCGCACATCGGCCACCTTTCCTGCGACATTCCTCCTCTGCGCGAGCGGCTATTAGTTTACCTTTTCCACGCCCGCCTGTCGTTCGTCGATCGACGCTCGGTTATTGCCAACGTCCGCTAGCCGTCTCACTTGCCATTGTCTCGCTCGTACGCACGGCCTCTGCCATATTTATTGTTTGCCAGAGGTTACGCGCCGTAGCGAAGCACTGCACGAGACGACGCTCGCTGTAGTTTCTCCGAGGCGCACCCTCGACGTTTAATCGAGCGCCAGTTTCTCCACAATTTATAATTACGACGATAAGATTGGTCGAGTAGCCCCTCCTAGTTCATCCACTTCCGTCACTTGTGCCACACGTGCTGCTCTTTATAGCCGGGGCTTCTATTAATTTAGGACAACCTATAAAGATGACTTACAAGGAATTAACCAACTGTCGCGACATCTTGACGATACAGTTTGCTTTCTTCCGCCTCCCACTTTTCAGGCCGCCCGACTAATATTTTCTTCGAGTCGTATCGCAATTAACTCTTTGTCAAAGCGCAATAAATACTTAATGCCGTTTCACCGATCTACTTTTACTCTTGCACTCTCAAAGCTACTGTACACGTCGAAAGGAGGACACATGAGCGCGGATACGATGGTTTTCCTGGAGATGCACGTGAGAATGTAGATCTTGATAGGGCCTGTAATGCATGTTTCCTTTTTCAGGCTGTGCAATGCACATTGCTCGGTGAGTAGGCAAACAAAACGTTCAAGAATTTCGGCTGCCGCCAGAGATTTCGGTCCCACACATCGCACCTGACATCACTTCCCACCTATCTTATTCAGCGTCCATTTTTACATTCACAAAATTGCTATGAAATCGTTATCGAAACACGTTCAGCAGGTTAAAAATAAGACACCTTTTCATTTGGCTAATTGTTTCTTTTGCCTCGTCTTTACTTTATTAATCATCGCTCAAACTTATATTTGCTTTGGCACGGGCTTTGGACAATCAGAATAACATCAAGGCGAAAGAAATCAAATATTTTCGATGAATTTCTAAAGTTTGAGAGGTGCTGCACTCTCGCGTTACTTCTTGAAAGCGCACGCTTCTTTCGAAAATTGCGTCTGATTTTGCAACGCACGAGCCACTTTACTGCATCGAAAATTTGCATGTTGCTAGTTACACTCTTTACACAACCAAATTCAAGTGCCCAAACACTGACTCATATCTGTATGGAACAAGCTTCTTCGTTGGAGCACTTTGTCGAATGCGTAGTGTCGCGGACACTGTTACAAAATTTTGTATTTCCAAGGAATCGCTACACTTGTTACGGTGACGTCCGCTGGATCGTCCAAATCAGAAACAAGTTATCGGAGAAAACTATAGCGTTGAAGAATGACCCGAACAAAGTAAAATGATCTCGAATAAATATTTACGCATGGCGGTAGAATCTGGGAACATCAGTGGGTTTTTAACAGATTCGAGATTGGATTATGGAAACGAGCACTATCTGTCGCTTCTAAATTAGATTAGCTTCAAAAATGGTGTGGCGATAACGTTCATAGACAGTGGGAAATTTTGCTGATAGGTGAACAAAAACATTGATACGCGTTGGAGTTTCTGTAAAGTTCTGCGGAGCGTACATCGTCGATTCGATGCATGCACGTGTATTCAAGCTGCTGCGAAGAACGGCGATAATACATTCGTTTACAAAAATAGATGACCGCCTGTTCATTTGGCTGGGCGATTGCGCCAGCCAATAAGCGCCAGATAATGTAGGCGAAAGTGCAATCTGGAAGGAGGGAGTGAGGGGAGAGGGGGGGGGGAGGGCATTAAAAGTGCCGGAACGAGGTGAAAGAAGATGAGAAAGTAAAGGCGTAATAAAGTGCGTGTTGTCGGTCGACCGCGGCCCGGCGAGCGGCCGAGCGGCCGAGCGTCGAGCATCGAGCGTCGAGCGTCGAGCGATTGGCCGAAAAGAGCGAAGAAAAAAAGCGCGGGCTCGTGTGGCGTGTGTGTATTACGTTAGGCGGCAGGCAGCACGAGTAGAAAAGAGCTGAGCCGCGATAAGATAAGCCCGCGCGCGTCGCTCGTGTTTTGATGAAACTCGGTCTTTTCGTGCGCGACAACGCTCGCTGCTTCGCGTTGTAATGACGATATGCTACTATAGCTGTCGCAGCGTCCGTTTCATTTGGTCCACAGTTGCGTAACAAAAATCTAGCTCCTCTCGTCTCCTATGCCATCCTTTCCACACTCACGTGTAAGTCTGGCGCGAGAGCTACGCTTTCAAGGACAGAAGGATAGCTAGAGGACCAATTTTTCGCGCTCTACTAGCAACTCGGCCATACGTTCTCTCGCCATACGGATCTTATTTATTTTTTTTTCGCCGAGCCTCGACGTAAATATTGTCTATTATATAATACGTCAACAAAGCATCATTTCTGCAAAAATGTATTTTTAGACTCCAACCAAGCTTCTTCTAGATTTACTCCGTGTTTTTCATATTTTCCTCGAACCCTAGCAAAATACAACATTACGCTAAAAATCCATCGTCCGATCATTTCATGTTTTCAAAGTTCCCCAACGTGTGCAATATTTTATCGAGCCGCAAATGATTTTGGAGCATTACATAAACACACGCCACATGTCAAACAAAGAAAGACTTATTACCAAGAGTGACAATTAACTTATATATTTAAAATTGGTATTCTCTATGTTCAGACAAAAACTCGTTAAATTTAAATTAAAGTTAGAGGACACTTACTTAAATTTACCGATGAAATACCTAACATTGAAGTTTAAGTCATTACAATAAACTTTAATAGAGACATAATAGCTTATAAAGTTACTTCTTGAATTACGTAGCAGTGATGGTGCATCAATGTTGCAAGTAGGTACTGGGCAACATCTCAAAAACATTTTTTTAAATTCGTTTCAATGCATACTTGAAACGAAAAAAGAGCGCGATGCAGAAACAAAACTATATGCTAATACAAGGGTAAAACCCTCCAGAACGATGCAAGTTCCGAAAACACGTATACATGTATCAGTGATAAAACTTGAACGATCGATGAAGTTTATCGTTCGCTGCACTTTTAAGCCAAACCAATATATAACATAACTCTGGCGGAATATCTGCCACTTGGTGTTTGATAAAAACCTTATTCCAAAATGTGATAATGATAAAATTTGTGTTGTTTTGTTTAGGTGACTAGCTTACTTTCATCATGTGTATTTTTATGCTATAAAAAATCAATTGAGTATTTAAGCAAGTGTTTATCTTCAAACTCAATACAGAAACTAAAGGCACCTCGAAAAGCACTTATAATTGAGGAATGGAAAGTTTATCTAGTTCATAACTGGCACATTATTGAAAAAAAGAAACTATGCGTTGAATTACTTGGGAATTTGAATTTGGAGTATCACAGCAACAAAAACGGTGAAGCATAATATGTGTGAATAATAATACTGGGAATAGATGAGCGCGTGGATTTGTTCTGAAAATAAGAGAGAAGTCGGAGCAGAAAGAAAGAAAGAAAGAAGAAAGAGAAAGAGATCTGGTCGCGCCGAGCGTATAACGAACGAACGAGCGAACGTAGATAAAATTTGAACGCAAGTTGGCGGTTATTTGTCGGAGCTTGCCGTGGAGGGGGATCGCGTCTTTGTATAGCCGAAGTTGGCCGAGGTCGTCCGAAGCTCAATAGCGGCGGTGGCGGCGGCGGCAGCTCGTGGTCCCGTGAGCGGCGCTCGCGAGTCGTGACTCGCGCTCGGTCAGTCGCTAGAGAGCGCCCAGCACGTGTGGTACGCGTTCCCGCGCTCCGATATTCAGCGTGCCCGAGCTAACCAAATTAGTCAGCCAAGTCGCTCGAATAATCGCGTACTTAAGAGCACCAGCAACATTGGCAGCACGATCATCAGTCCGCCAGTTGTGTGCGTGCGCGAGTGTTAGTGTCGAGAGCGAGTTACGTCACGTGCGTGCGCCCAAAGGCGGGAATCGCTGAAAACGTGCTCTGGCCTGTTTGTCGATTCTATCGAGGCCGCAGCGCAGAACCAAGGAGAACTGCCGCCCCACCAGCGCCTCTCGACGGTTTTCGCGACTGCTCCGCGTACCGTGTGCACATCGGAGCACGGTGTGGCGCTCCGAGAGCGGGATTTTTGTCGCGGGCCAGCTTTGCGACCCGCAAACTTGATTGAGAGTCCAGCCGGGGTCCAGCTCGGCCAGCAGGACCGAGTGCCGAGGCGCGAGCTTCGCGCATCTGTGAGTGCGATCGCGTGCCAAAGTGCAAGCGACAAGAACTGCAGTGGCGACGAGCGAGTGGGCTTGGAGTAGGCAGCAGCAGTGCAACTCTTGGCCCGGGCGATTGTCAAGCCCCGGGCTTTTGCGCCGCTACTGGTTGTGCGCGCTAGTGTGCGTGCGTGTCAGTGTGCGTGCTCTCGCGGTCTCCATCGTTGCCACGTTTATTGAAGTGAGAGTCAGAGAGCGGCGGCGCCGCCGCAGCGCGCAAGTGGATCGGACGAAAGAGCGAGAAAGCCGAGCCAGAGATAATAGCCATCGAACGTCGACGAGTGTGTGCGTGCGAGCTGGTGACTAGCTTTCCAGGAATCGCTCCGAGGCACGGACTTCCCGCGCAAAACTACCGGCGCAGCGATCACGTGCGTGGCCCGCCGAAGCCGCGATCGTGCTCCACGCAGCGAGAGCGGCGAAACAAAAGAGCGAGAGAGAGAGAGATAAGCAGGAGAGCAGCGGGTCGCGGGCGATCTCAATGAGTTGAGCCGCGCCGAGGGGAAGAGCCCGCGAAGACGGAAGATCGAGAGCGCGAGGCGCTCGGCCGCACAGAGAGCGATAATATGAGCGCCCGAGTGATGAACCCTGCGCTGATGACCGAGATGAGCAGCAAGCTGAGCGTGGTGGTGGCCAGCAGCCAGGCGAGCGGCAGCGCCGGCCAGCCGAGCGTGGGCCGCGTGGCGCCGAGCAGGGCCGCCCTGGCGCGGGTGCGCCGCGACCTGTTCGGCCCGGTGGACCACGCGGCCGCCCGGGCCTACGCGGAGCACGAGCTGCGCACCCAGTCGCTGCTCGACTCGGAGCGCTGGGGCTTCGACTTCCGACTGGAGCTGCCCAAGAGCGAGGCCAACTCGCGCTTCGTCTGGCAGCCGGTGACCACCGAGGACCTGGTGCCCGAGCCGTACGCCCTGCGGGGCATGCCCTACCTGCGCCGGCAGTCGCCCGCCGCGCCGTCCAAGTCGGCGCACCGGTCGCCGCGCCCGGCGCGCTCCTGCGAGTCGTCGCCCGTCGCCGTGGCGAACAGCGCCCTGATGCTGCTGGAGAGCGGCGAGTCGCCGTCGCCGACGGGCGGCCAGCTCAAGATGCAGCTGGCCGAGAGGACGCCGCCACAGGAGTCGCGCGTGCCGCTTGGCGGCGAGAAGACGCCAGACGTGGTGCCGGCCATCGCCGAGCTGACCGTCAGATCCACGCCCGCCCAGGCGCAGCCCACCACGCCCGCGCTGTCGACGAGGAAGCAGGCTGCCATCACCGGTCAGTATGTGCCGCCCCACCCCGCCCCCGCTCGTTGTTTCCGCGCGTCCTCCGCCGCCCTTCGACCGAGGTCGCCGCTCCGATTGCCAGCTTCGTTGGCGTTGCCGCGTCGCTGATTGCCCACGTCGGGCGCGTCGAGCCGAGCGAAGAGCCTCGGAGCGCGGCCCGTCGGTCGAGCGGCCGACGCGCGCGGAGAAAGCGGAGAGCCGAGTGCAACGATCGCAGTCGCATGTGAAAGGCGCTCGCGCAAAAACCAGCAGCGGAGCTCGAGCGCAGCTGCGCGCGGCGTCGCGGGCTTGGCTGGCCTGGTTCACGCCGCAGCGCCGTTCTCCAAGGCGCTATTTCGGGACGCGCGCGACGGACGGATCCCCCGCTCGCCGCCGGCTGTGCGAGGCTCCTGTTTACGCGCTGCCCCCGTTGCATTCGCCAGCCGGACGGGATAAGTTTGGAAGCAGACCCGCTGCCGCAGCCGAGCTCGCGAACGCGAAACGACTCGAGAATGCCATTAGAAAGTGAGGAGGCGCGCTAAAGAGCACTGGAAAGGGGAACAATGGGCGCGCAGGTAGCTCGGAGAACGTTTTTCGTGCACCGAGCGTGCGTACTCCGGATCGGGATTTTCCCGCGGCGAGACAGGGAGCGCGAGCAAAAGCGAAAGCGGCGGCGAATTCGGTCGTTTGGATGTGCCGGCGGTGATCTGCTCTGTGCCCCCCTGTGTCGAACGTACGCGTGCATCGAAAAGAAGCACACGCACGCGTAGTGGGGGCAAGCGTAACGAAAGGCAGATAAGCCGAGCGAGAGAGAGAGAGAGAGAGAGAAAAGTGGCTCGCCGGCAGCCGATGGGGGTCAAAGCTACGCGCGCCCAGAGGGAAGGGGGAGCGTAGTGTTCCGGGTATCGTGCGGCGTAACGTACTTTATTAATGAGCCGATGCAGTCAGCTGTTCGGCGACATGGGGGCTGGAGCTGCACCCTCGCAGCTCGGTGCCCCCTCGCGCGCGGGCATCGCCGATCCGATCAGCTGGGGCTTCCGCGCGCGTGTTTGCGTTGCTCGCAGTCAGCGTCATTTAAACTGCGCGCCCACTCTGCCGAGCGCTGCCGAGGGCCCGATGCTGCGCCGGCGGGTCGTGGCTTCGCGTGCGAAACGCCGGCAAGTGACCGCGCGCGCGCGAGCCTCGGTCGCTTCTTCCCACGCTCGTTCGCTCGCAGTCCCCAGGCCCCGCCGACGGCTCCAGCAGGCGCGAGCGCGACGCGTCGACGAGGTCGCGCGGCCGCCGGTGCCGAAGACGCGAAAGCGCGAGCGTCGCCACACCGCCTACGAGCCGCCCACGAGCCGCATAAACAAACAGTCGCGGGCAGAGCGAGCGTCGGTTCGAGCGACGCGTGCTGCTGTTTATAGTTCCAGCAGCGACGGGGGGTTGTCCGCGCCAGATGGGGGATACGAGCTCGAGGAGCGCGAATTCGGAATGCGGGCGCGTGCCCCGATCAAGATACGCGCGGAATGGGGTGCTGCCGGCGGCGGCTCGCATTTTCAAACGGTCCGGCAGCGTCGTGGTCGCGACGGCGGCGGCGACGGTGGCCGGCACGCGGCCGCTCGACTCGAACGCGCAGAATTTGCATAGGCCGCGAGCGACGCACCGGGCCGCTGCCGTTCCCGCCGCCGTTCCCGCCGCCGTTCCCGCCGCCCCCTTCGGCGCGACCTCGCGCCAGCCCCGCAGCACCGAAATAAGGCGCGACCGTAAACATTCGAGCTCTCGAGCACAAATAATGCATTAATCGCCGTGTGCGCCTGAGCGTAAACACTCGATCGTCCGTTGCTCGGGAAGCGTTCACGCTTGGCCGGCGACCAACAGCCGAGCCAGCAGTCGATCTCGCGCGCCAATCTCGCCGAGTCGAGCCTGCCTCGGCCATTGTTTTTTCTTGCTCCGGCAGACGACTGACGAGCCGCCTTTGTCGCTTGTATGTTTGCAGACTTCATGAAGAGCCGCAAGCGAACGCTCAATGCCACGGCCAAGAGCATGCTCGAGCCAGCGGAGAAGCTGCCGCGCAACGCCGGCCAGATCCACAGCTAAGCGAGCTCCGGCCAGTTCGAGGACGTCGAGCAGCAGCGGACCAGGAGGGGCAAGCCGACGCAGGGTCGACGCAGGATCGACGCAGGATCGACGCAGGATCGACGCAGGATCGACTCAGGATCGACGGGCCGGCGGCGGACCTCCGCGCCTCTCTTCTGGCTGTGATTGATATTTGGCGGATCACCTAGATTTGGCCGGCCTCTCGCGCCGCTTTCTTCCTCGCTCTCTGGGCGAGAGCCAGTGCAGCCCTCGTTAACTAACCGATTCTCCTTCGTTGTGCGCTTGACGTAGCCACTAAGCGGACCATGTTTCGGTGTATTTGCGTCCTTCGCCGAGCGGTCGCCGGCTCGTCAGACAGACAACCGTTGTTAATTGCGTTTTACCACGACTCTGCGTCCTCGCGAGCTCTCGTTCGTCTCTCGAGTTGTTACTCGTAGCTCGTGGACAACTCGGAAGGTCGTTTCTTCTCCCTCTGCCTTTTCCTTCTTTTTTACTGCTATCCTGTGCGGCAGCTTTCTATTTTTACCGGGAGGACTCGCGTCTCGGTGTCGCCTCGCCACGCACGCTGCCTCGAGGCAACATCCAGATTTCCCAGTCTCTCTACGAGTACCAAAACGGTCTTCACGATCAAATCCTCAAGATCCTTTTTCTACTCGACCCGATAGAAACCTGCCTGCCTCATTTTAATCCTGTACATTATGTAAAATAAATAAATATATATATATACATATATTTATATATATAAATCCTTTTTTATTGTTTAGGAGGCTCGTAGATGTTTCGTTACTTGTATAGTTTAGAGAGGAAGGTAAATCAAAAGTCCGAACGCCAAAGAATCTTTCAAATTTTCTCAACGCGCACAAACACATTTTAATCGTTTCTTTGCAATGCATCCCACTCAATTCGTCGCGCCCGGCTTTGAGAAAGTTTCATCGATAGCCGTTCCAACTTATTGCACTTTACCTTCTGTAAATTATTGACTTTCGAAAATGTTCAATATACTTAACGATGTGAAATTTATTTTTGAAAAAATGATCTTCGCTTTTCATCTTGTAGAATAAGACAACCAAGAAGAAAAAAGAGTGCGAATTAGTAAATAGTAAGATCAAAGTAGAGAGAGGAACTTTTATTAAAATCATTCTTACACTTATAGTTTTTCTTTATTACAATTGCACATCGCTTTGTCAAATTGATACGTCTTTGACGATGTAGTCAAGTTCTTTTTCTAATAAACAATCTGATTGAAAACTCTGCACCGATATTAACTTTTCAAATTTAGTTATGTAAGTACTTGAGCCATTTTTCAGTAACAATCAAAAGTTTCTGCAGTACAGGTTTACATCGTTTTTTTTGTTTTTGCTTTTTTTTTTATTTGACACACTACCAATCTAATTTCATCTGACTGAGTTTGCATGTACAAGGTAAAATAAATAGACTGTTATCTCACTTTTAATTAATAACTAGGACATGTTTGATTGAGTCATTATTATCAAGTTTATTGGAAATTATAATTTTGTACTTTTTTAACTGGAATAAAAGTTGTCTCCTAATCGATTGTCAAATCTTGCTTTTAAAATTGATGTCAAAAAGAAGTTTTGGAGGTACAAAAAAAATCGCAACAACTTTGTATGGCGAGTTCTGATGTTCGCGCTGAAAAAGTGTGAATTTCAAAAAACTTGGTTATTCCGTAAGAATTAAGTTCTTTTGAGATTACATTTAAAAAAATACCACTGGTGGTTACTTTACATAATAATTCAAGACTTTGAATAGAAAATTGTCGTCAGCGTTTCTTGCGAGCAAATAAATCAGTTTATTTTAATTGTTGAAAGTATTTTCGATGGTAATCGTTTTGCGTGCATCGAATTCTTCACGAATACAATTGATAAAGCTTATATGCGCAATTAGCAAAAGTGTATGCAGCCATTTTTCTTTCACGTAATTAAGTTGTTTGTAAATCAACCATTGACGGGAATAGTTGCATTCACTGCCTGAGAAGTTTAGAAGGGCACAGGTAAAAGAAAGAAAGAAAGTGGGAAAAAAATAGATAAAATAAGAAAAGTAAATTGATGTAACCCTGTGATGTATTAGTATGATCTCAGCAACTTAGTGCGTAATTTTAAAGATGTAATTAGAGGATAACGTAAATGACTTATAGAAATATGAATTCTATTGTAAGAAAGAAGAAACAATCGATGACAATAAATTGAACGTGTGAGTGCGCGAGTGAATAAAAGTAGAGGTGAGAATGGATGAAAGGTAAGAAATATAAGGGGCGATACGCAAGACCCAGTGAATCATGCGTAAAGAAACAAAGAAGTTTACGAAAATGTCAAACAATTATTACATTCTTGTACATGTATAAGCGATTAAGCGATTATAGTGAATTTTAAGAGAGTTTAATAAAACTAACATATGTAAGAAAATAATATGCTATTGTTTATAATGAAATTTCTTTAAAAAAAATCTCGAACGCACTGGCATTTTCATTGACGAGCCCCCCAGACAAGCCGTACTCCTCGGCTCGAGCAGCCTCGCTAACGTCGACAAAGTCGGGGACGGTTTACGCGGCGCAGACCGCGGTGGCGAATTCGGGCGAGCACCTGCGGCGCGTGCGGCGGCCCAGAGGGGAACGGAATAAAGAAGCCCGGGCTACAGGCAGAAAAAGCCCAGGGAGCGGGAGGAAGGAAGAAGGGAGTTGGCCGTCGGGGGGCAAGTGCAAAATCGGAGCTGAAGGAGCGCAGCAAGGCTGCAGGTGCAGCCGCACGAGTTTCCGAGAGAGAGAGAGAGAGACACGGCCAGCAGGTGCACGCGTTCCGGTTGCCAATTTGGCTCTCTCTCTCTCCCTTTCCCCTCTCGCGGGCTTCTTTTTCTGGCTCGGGCATCGATGCACCGACGCGGGACGCGGCGACGCGCGGTGCCGCAGCAGCCCACGCCCCGAGGAGATGAGCCGAGCGAGCGGCGAGCAGTCGCTCGCTCCTTTCCTTTTTTCAGCAGTCGCTACCGCCGCTGAGTTTTCGTTTGTTTTTTCTCGACGCCGTCGCACCTGCGTTGCGTCGATCCGCGGGGGCGGCTGCCGACGCCGCGGCGACGGGTCGCGAGCCGTCGCCGCCTCTGGACCACCCGGGCTCGGCGAGACAGGCGGCGCACTCGAATAAAATAGCGGAGGGTCAGGAGTGCGTCGGCGGACCACCCCGGTCGACGCGCCGAGCGACGAGGGCGCAGATTGGCCGTCGGCGCGCACGGTCGGCTAATCAGGTGGGAGGAAAGCCAGGCAGGCGCACTCTCGCGGCTGACCGAGCGCTGACCCCCGCCGAAGATTACGGCCGAGCGACCCCGAGCGACCATTACGCCCTCCCACTCGCCGCGATAATTGCTGGACTCGGAGCAGCGTCGCTCGTTCGCGGCCGGCTGGCGTGAGAACGGCCGGCCACGAGCCTCCAGACGAAGGATTACTTGGCAGCTGTAACGAGCAACGAGTGGCAGCTCGATACAACTGAAACACGAAATGTATATAAATCACATCGGCAGAGCCGCTGATAGAGCGTGCACGGTGTGCTTAACGAAACCAGATAGCCTGGCTGCGCGTCACTTACGAGAGGCAGATGCTCTCTGCGGCGCGCGCCAAGGGGCGGTTATTTTAAAACTCCGCAGGAGGGTAAAACAGATGAAAATGTGAAAGCTCGGGCCCTCGACAGCGGCACCAGCGCCTGGCTGGCTCTCATTTTCCACGCTCGCATTGACGGAACTAAAAGTCAGCTTTTGTGGTTTAATACAGGCGATGAGTGGCGCGCTTTGTCATGCCCAACAGCTCTCTCTCGCTCTCGCTCTCGCTCTCGCTCTGACACTTATGGCAGCGATGCGTATCTCGGCGGAAGAGCTGTGCAGATGCAGCGCGGCATTCGTTGCGTACGGTAGCTGCGCGGCGCTGCGGCCGACGCGCCCAGCCGAAACAAAGGAGTCGGGCAACGGCCTGTGCGGAAAACAACGGCTCGCCGCGTCTTGGCGCTGATTTTCGCAAGGTCCTCGGCCAGCTGCGGCAGCTCGGCTCGGCCGAGAATGCCGAGTAGTCGGCGCTGGCTTGCATTTTAATGCAGCGTGCGGTTTGGCGTCACCGTTAACGACAGCCCGCGCCGTCCCTCGCCCTTAACCGTTGCCGCGGGCTTCCTCCTGGCCGGCTGTCCGCGAGCGCGCGCTTTCCAGACGGAACGTCCGGAAACGAAGGCAGCGCGTGTTTGGAATTCGGAGCCGGCCGGGCGCTGCTGCAGCGGGGCCGAGCAAACGAAAAATCCACCGTTCCGCGCGTCGAGCGGCAAGCTCGGGCGTCAACTTGTCTCTCTCTCTCTCTCTCTCTCTCTCTCTCTCGCTCTCTTTTCGCTTCCGCCGCGCTCCACTTCCCTTTCTCTCGACCGATTTTCGAACCGCAGCGCGGTCCTCCTGCCCGCGGTGGCGAGCCTCTTGCTCCTTTCCCGCACGGCCTATTTCCGCGCGCACTCGGTCCGGAATAGCTCCGGAAGCCGCCGAGCGAGTCAGCGCGCCGCAGCGAAACAGCACGGAGCGTCGGCAAAATGCGCCGAAAGTGTGCGCGGGCAGGACGGTAGCCCGAGAGAGCGGGCGGTGGGGGGGGGGGGGGGGGGCGCTCGCGGCGCGGCTGCCCGTCGACGCGTCCCGAGGGACGGGCTCTCGTCCTGGCGTCGAGCCGGCCGGCTGCGAGTCTCCAAGACGGCGGGGGCCTGCCTCGGTGCGCGAACAAAGAGGCCAAACAGCCGGAGCGGAGCGGCGGCGGCGGCGGCGGCGGCGGCTTATCGGCGCAAGCGCGCGAGAGGCGTGATTCCGCGGCACTGCACAGTGCCGAGTGCACACATCGCCAGCCACTTGGCGCTCGACTCGGCTCTCTGTTGCTAGGCGCGCGACGCGCCGTCCAATATTTTTAGAGCTCTCCCACTCTGCCGGCCGGCCGCTCGCCTCCGATCCGCGGACGGCGCGCCGGCACGCACGCTACGCCGCGACGTTCGCGCCAAAGACGCTCGCGCTCAGCCTCGACGGCCCGGCCGCCTGCCGTAACGTCGCCTGGCCAGCGTCGCTTGCGACGTCACGCGCGGAGCACTGCAGCTGCGCGCTCTCGGATTCCCAGAGCCCCCAAGGTCAGTGGCCCTTGGCGAAGACGAGAGCGCATTTCCGACTCGTCGGTCGACCGAACGTCGCGTTGCAGCGCCGTCGAGCACGCCTCCCGCCGTTGCACCGTTGCACCGTTGCACCGTTGCGGGAGCCGGATGAACCGCAGGCGACAGGCAACGGGCAAGTTTCGCGGACGAGAGCGCGCGGACACCCGGCAGCGCTCCTTCCCTGCTCCTTCCACCGCCGCCCGACGGACGGCCGTCTTCCTACGCTCGCGACTGGCGCGCGCAACGCCTCGAGCGGCCGCTCGCCCAAGCACGGGCCTCCGCCGAGTCGGTAACCGGCGGACGGCGGAGGCCGCGGCCAGCGGAACAGCGGCTGTGCCGGAGAGGCGTCGAGCTCCTCCGGCCGCAGCCTCCCGAGTGCGCAGCAGCTCCGGGGAGTGCAACGTACCCGTTGTTTACCGGCGCGGGCGCGGGTTCAAAGTCCGGTCAGCCACCGAACCGCCTGCCGCTCGCCCCTCCTCTCGCTCGCTCCGCGCTGGCCTCTCCTCTCCGAGCAGCTCGCGACCGCTCGAGCGCTGAGCTGCGTCGCGGTGGCCCGAGGCGGCCCGCGGCTTGATCGATCGATCGCGTCGCGCCTCTCCGAGCGTTCACCTGTGAATCGCGTCCTCGGCGGTGCCTTCTCGCCTCTTCGCCGTCGCGGACCTTCCCGGCTAATAGCTTCTTCCGTGGTGCGTCGATCGATCATCCGAGCTCGGCCGGCTCGTCGTCGATCCATCCTCGATCCGTGTGTTTATACATCGCCAGCTGTCCGCTCGCCCGCAGCAGTTGCGTCGCCGAACGAGCGTCGAGCCCGAGCCACACGGTTGGTCAGCGCCCGCAGATTTATCGACATTTAAACGTTGCAGTTTCCACCTCGCTCGTCGACTGGCCGACTGATTCACCGACTCGGAGCGCATATTTCACATATTTTCCTGTTGTCTCGAGAGCTCTCTATGCGCGTCGTGCGTGCCAGCCCACGGTGCCTTTCGGTCGCAGTCCTCGATGGCTTTCTCCAAATTTCGCTTCCATCGTTTTTCACTCCAGCGCCAACTTGGCCATTTACAAAGCTGACGACCTCGCGCTCCTGTCAAAATAAGCGCCTTCCCTTGCCTCGAGGCTCCTTTTTTTCCGTAACTTCGAGGGAGACAAGTCATACGAAGAGCAGAAAGAAATAGCTGGCGGTAATTGTCAGTTTTAAAATAAACACGGCACACACGCCGAGACTGTGAAAAGCAGGGGGTTTCGACGGCGCGCAGTCATACCTCCGGCGAGAGCCAGTGGACGGGTTGTGCGGTGGAAAAAAGGAGGAAAACCGTCGCTCGACATCGGTGAAAGAACGGGGCTCGAATCGCCGCTCGCGTAAAGTTGGGAAATCGGTCGGGCGATCGGACGAGCGGGGAAGGCTCCTGGCGCGCGCCGCGAGCTTTCGGGACAGACCGAAACCGACGTTTTTCGGGCGAGAAAGCGCACGGCGAGCGATCGCAGTCCTCGCAGGCTGTTATCGAGGGGACACGCGGGGCTGCGCGGCGAGAGAGAGAGAGAGAGAGAGAGAGAGAGAGAGAGAGAGAGAGAGAGAACGGGCTCGTTCCGTTCGCTCCGGCCTGCGAGCGAGTCGCGCGGGGTTCAAAGCCCGGTCAAGCGAGAGTGCCTTCTCCTACTCGTTCCTCGACCCTGCGCCTCTCTCGCTTGCTGCTCTCCGCGGCGGCGCTCGCCGGCTCGCACCGCTGTCCATTCTCGCGCGCGTTCTCGCTCGGTGCAGCTTCGACGCGAGCGTGCAACGTCCGGAAAAGAGCACTGAGCGCAGACCGGAGCGGCATTGCTCGCCTCTCTCTCTCTCTCTCTCTCTCTCTCTCTCTCTCTCTCTCTCGCTCTCTCGCTCGAGAGGACTCGATCGGCGCTCGACGCTCATTGTCGCGCGCCACGCAGAGGCTTGCAGTGAGAGTCGCTGCTGCACTCGAGACGCTGCGCAGCTGCGTGCACGGGCGCTGCGCGCTCCCGTGCGAGCTTGTCGCGCAACTGTCGCCAAAAGGCGCAAAAGGCGCAAAAGGCGCAAAAGGCGCAAAAGGCGCAAAAGGATCGCTGCAGCCAATTGGACCGGGCGTGTGCGCGCACTCGAGCAGCTCTCTCGGGCGCAGCCGTACGCGTGCGTGGACAGGCTCGAGTGTCCACTGCAGCGCTCTTCGGCGTTCGACGAGTCGACTCGGTGCAACACGCTGCTCGTGCGCCGGTCGTCCGTTAAGGGCGCCGCGGAACGGCTGGAAAACAAAAGCGAGACGAAGGATGCTGC